CTATTCTGGATCACTGTTTGCACCAGTCATGGTTATAGATTGCTCCAGTGGTGGATCACTTAAAAAATCATACTAAAAAACATTGCATTTTAAAATTACGAGACTGAGACGTTTTGCAACTTTTATAAGGCTTTACGGACAGATTTTCAAATTCACTTTCCTATCCATATCCCCTCCTCTTTCATTTCTATAGGTATAATGTGACTAAATATTAATTAATCATCTTTTTATTAGAATTTTTGGTAATAAATAAATAGAAACTCTTAAAGCTTCAGTTTCAATGATAAATAACATTTATTAATTCTGGGTATTTTAATTCAACAAAAATTTAACAATTTGAAATCAGGGGGTCGATTACGTAACTTTCCCACTTCCCACATTTTACATCCCACATCTCACTTCCTACATTTTACATCCCACTTCTCAATTCCCACATCCCATTTCCCACATCTCACTTCCCACATTTTACATACCACTTCCCACATCCAACATCTTGTGGGAAATGGGAGAGATGTGAGAAGTGGGATATAAAAGGTGGGAAGCGTGATAAGAAAAGTGTAATGTACAATGTAAGATGTGAAGTGTGAAATGTGAGAAGTGGGATGTGAAATGTGGGAAGTGAGATGTGGAATGTGAAATATGGGAAGTGGGATGTGGTATGTGAAATATGGGAAGTGGGAAGTGGATATGAAATATGGGAAGTAATAAGTGAGATGTGAAATATGGGAAGTGGGATATGAAATATGGGAAGTGAGAAGTGAGATGTGAAATATGGGATATGGGAAGTGGGATGTAAAATGTAGGAAGTGAGATGTGGGATTTGGGAAGTGGGATGTAAAATGTGGGATATGGGATGTAAAATGTGGGAAATGAGATGTGGGATGTGGTATGTGGGAAGTGGGAAGTGGGAAAGTTACGTAATTTTCAATAAAACAATGCGTCAACAGGGGAAAAGTAGGACTGATCCACCACTAGATTTTGTTACTTTTTTGGTTCCAGTCGTGGATCACCCCAAAACAATGGACACGCGCTACTTACAGACGTAAATATTGTTCTCAGGGCTCTATGGGGATGAAACGAAATGCCTCCTATTGTGAAAAGAATTAAAAATTGTCCTAAAATGGCTCCAAAGCTTTCTATTCCAAAATATACTCTTAACTTACATGCTAAGGAAAACTCTTGTTTTCTGTCACCACTTTAGTAATTGTTGTCCTGCTTTCTTCGCGATGAATTTAAAAATTTTTTTAAATTGTAATATTGATCTGTATAATTTTCTTAACAATTACCGACACTTGTGGTTCATTTTCTTACAAACGTGTAAACACAAATGACCATTTTTCTCGCAGTTGATCCACCACTGGTGCATGATCCACCACTGGTGCAGTTACCCTAAATAAAAATAAAAAAAGGTAATTAATTTTCATTTAAAAAAGGAATAGGACTAGAAAAAAAGCAAATCACCTGAATTTATCCGTTCCAGTAGAAGTTTTCTTAATTTTCTTCAACTTTCACTTGATTCTGTTCTTGATCCACGATTTCTCCATTCATTTCCATATCTGAAAATTTGTCCTGATACTGATATTCAAGGGGATGCGTAATAATGGCGGTGTTGCTTCTCCCTTGTCAAGAAAGCCAACTTTCAAGTAGACCAGACTTAAAAAACATTCCGTTTATCCAAAATATCAATAACGCATTTAGGCACGTTATTTTCCTTTTGTTTTTTATCGTTGCCTAGAAGAACGGAATTTCATTTAACGTAATCGTTAAAGAAGACAATTACAACATTCAAGTAAAATAAAGAAAAACATTAATAAAAAAATACAAGGGGGGTCCTTATTTATAAAAAAAATAAATTGCTTCCTAATGCACCTTGAGGAACTTTTCCCATGAGGAAGCAATAATAATATAAAAAATTACATTTAAAATGTAAATTAGAAAAAAATTAAATATAAATTAATAAATCAAATTAAATCAATAAATATTTTTTAAAAAACATTTTTCTGGATATTCTGGATTAATATAATTTACACAAAATCATCTTCTTTAAAACATTAATTTTTAATATTTATCAGTCAAAATTATTATTTGTTATTTTTGATGATACAAAACTAGAAAAACTTTTTTGCGCCCACTAGGTTATTTGTCACTATTTTTATTAGTTAACACATATATATTTCTAAAAAAAATTTAATTATTATTTAATGAAAATTAGGTACATTTAATTTTCGTTTATATAATAAATTCTAATTTAAAATTATGTAACCTATTGTGCAGTAATTACCATGAAATTGAATGACAAAAATTTTGAATAGTTGTAGGTTATGGTTTATATTTACAAGTATAAAATAATCGAAAATAATATTTAGAATTTACTATATTTGAATTTCTAATTGATATTTATTTTTTAACCATATATTTCTGCAAAAGATAGATTAAAAATTCTATTTCTTATTATTATATAAATATATATATTTTTCTTACCACAAATATTTACGTTATGTTTCCTGTGTATGAATTATTCAAAACTGGCATCCATAGCGCAAATAACACTTGTAATCACAACTGGAATAATAATTATTATTACTGGTCACTAACAATACTTTCACTTACTATATTTAATATTACAAATTTTCGTAAATAGCTAAATTTTTAATTATAAACGTAAACCGGCGGCCGGCAGAAATTCTGGACAAAACAAGTTCATGCGGTAGTCACCGATAAACACAAAATAAAAAAATTGCTATAAGTCAGTTCAACTTGTGACATAGCGTGACGTCACTTTTCAAAATGATGCCTCGTAGGAAGACATGAAATGCATTCAAGTCAATGGAGCGAATCAGTTTTTTTAAAATAACTTTTGAAAAATTAATTTTTGAACCCAAGTGTAATTATAAAATATTTTTCATTTATCGAAATCTTTTTTTAAATAATAGAACTTAATTTTGTTATTTTATTATTTAAAAAAAAGATTTCGATAAATAACAAATATTTTATAATTAAACTTGGGTTCAAAAATTAATTTTTCAAAAGTTATTAAAAAAAATGATTCACTCCATTGACTTTTATTCATTGCATGTCTTCCGACGAGGCATCATTTTGAAAAGTGACAGGCTGATTAAAAGTAATTCATTTGTGATAAATATTTTTAAATATAATTGTTAGTAATAAAATGTTGGCGTTATTATTATTATAGTTTATAAAACTTATTATTATGTTGAAGTATACTGTAATCAATGAAATGTATAATTCATATTTGCGTTAAAACCTTGTTTACGATCAACTGCTTTTTAAGAAGCACGCGCTTGTCTGGTGAATAGAAAATGTGTTCAGCCGTTTCCGAATTGAGGTTTTTAGCGCATTTTTGATAAAGTGTATACTAGGAAAGTATGCGCAGACGCAAATCGCAAAGTTGATGAAATTGAACAAGAAGAAGGATTCGGAAGCAACACTGCATACATGTGGTCTTGTTCATTCATCAAAAGTCGACATTAGACGTAGTTCGTAATAAAATTTTCGTCAAATTAAAGTGAGTAAAACTTTTATTTTTAATCCTTTTTCAACGATATAAATGCACAACATTATGTGATCGCTAAAGTAAAAGTCACGGTTTTGGAACAATGTTCTGGTTATTATCTTAATTTGAAACGTTTTCCATACAACATTTAGTTTTATTTTTTATGCGCACAGACTATTTTGTGTATTAAAAAAAGAAATGTTAAATCACGTATTAAAAACAGAAAATTTACACAATATTTCCACTACAAATTTGTGTTTCATATTACATTGTAGGTTATGCACGTGTTTTAAACTGCTAATTATAAAAGAAATACATTTTTGGATATATAATTACCATAAGAAAACAAAGAAAAATAAAGTTTAAAAAATGTTTAGTAGTAATTTGCTTTAGTCGGTTTAAATTTTTAGGAGATAACCCACTTAAACCAAAATTTGTTTCATAATCAAAACCTTATAGTGTATGAAGATGGAAAATTTAGGACAGTATCAATAGTAAGAAATTTTCAGTTCTTGCACAATCAAAACCCATTTTCGCCAATGATTTTACGATTTTTTTAAAAAATAGATATGTATATTTTAATTTTTGTCATTTGGTCAAGTATACATATATATAAGAAATATCTATCAAGGCTGAGGAATAATAGAAAAGGGGTTGTAATAAAAAAATCACAAATTTTTAAGGAATTAATTTCTTATGTTAAAAAAAAGATTTTTTTATTTTTTATTCCAACCCCTTTTCTTATGTTTCTCAGCTTTCATAGTTATTTCTTATACAGTATGTTTGATCAAATGACAAAAATTGAAATCTACATAACTTTCTTAAAAAAATCGTAAAACAATTTACGAAAATGGATTTTGAACTTTAGAAATTATATTGTACCGCATAATTTTGCAAAAGAGAAAAAAAATTTGATAATCTACAAAAATGGCTTTTTTAGCGATTTAAGCCACTGTTACAAAAAAAACCATTTTGGAAATCAGATTCGTACACCACAAAAAAATTTTTATAAAAAGAAAACTTAAAATTTATTTTTTTATCCAAAATTTCTTTTTTATTTTTATTAATAATACTGGTGATTTTCCTTTAGGCTATATTGAAGAAAACAAAAATGTCTCAACGAACCACGAGAAGTAAGTACTTGCAAACTTTATTTTATATATGAGCCAAAAGTTTTGAACGTTCAAATGAACAAAATATTTTTTTCAATCTAGAAATTATTAAAAATTATAATGGCAATGTAAAATAAAACAGTAAATTAAACTAATATTCAATTAATAACTCCTTTTTAGATATTTAAAATAATATTTTGTAATAAAATTCGTATTTAAAGAAGTTACAAAAAAATGTTGTTCATTTGAACGTTCAAAACTTTCGCTCATTTTTATATATAAAATAAACCATTTTTAAAATGTTTTTAGTTGTAAAAAAATAATTTTGTTCTCAGAATCAGGAGGTGTCAAGACAACAGAGAGCAGTCCGGGGGCTGAACAACATAATGAAAATAAAATGATGTTGAGAAGAAAGAGGAAAAAAATAACTCCAGTGATCAGCAAACTGTTCAGCAGCGTGCTGATTATTATCAGCGTTTAGCCGAAAAGAGAGAAGCTGAACTACAAGTTATAAAACAAAAAGCTTTAGAGGCTGAGATGTTAGCTCTTGAAAAAGAAAAGGAAGCTGAAATGATTTCAAAACTTCAAAGAAGCGCTGAGGAAAATTTAGAGTATCAGAAAAGGTACATTGAAGCGCAAGGAAGAATAAAAAATGTGGATCAGAAACTATCAAATAATGTAAGTGTTCCTTCTTCATCAAATTCATTCGTCAACGCATTCTCAGCATCAACTTCTTGGGCGCAGGATATTGATTCCCTAGTGACCGATTCTTCAGGAGAATATGCAAATTTTGTAGAAAATTTTGATTTCAAAACGGAAAGAGAAAGATTTCAGGAAGAAATGGCTTCGATGAGAGTGAGTATCATAAATATATATATGATTCTTTCAAAATATTTGCTACTTCTCCTTTTCCTGACTTATGTTTAATTTTTTTATTATAAGCGATTTTTTTAACATACTTGAATAAACAGCGATTTTTCGACTTTTTTTGATATAAAAAAAGTATAGACTTTTAAAATAGAAATCTTCAAAAATTAAAATTTTTTAAAATAATTTTGAAAATAGGCTTCAAACAGTTGAAGGTTTAACTTTATTTTAATAAATCATTTAAAAATTCAGTTGCATTCAAAAAAGTTTAATATAATCAGTTATAGTTATAGTTTAATATAATTAATTCAATTGTTTTCAAAATTCAAATAAAACTTTAGCAATTTAACACCTTCATTGTTAGAGAAAAAATTGACACTGTGGTCTCAAAATGTCCAACAAATTCTGATTGACAAATATTTATAAAACTTAGTATATAGGGATTTTTGGGGTCTCTCAATTAAAAAAAAATTTTTTTACTTTTACTTGTTTACCAATTGTTATACTAATAAAAATAATAATACACAGCGTATATGTCGTACTAGCCTGCAAAAAAAATTTTTGTCTGAAAGTGGGAAGTCATTTTCCGCAGTTTTCAGTGCGCTAAATCCAAATCTGTCGACAACAATTTTTCACCGCGTCAGGATTTTGAAAAAAGTGCGGTCAAAATATCCAAAAATCACGATTTTAGCAGTCTTGTGAAAATTTTTACCGGGTATACCTGACGTCCTACAAACTTGGACGTCATAGGACTCAAATTAAAGCTTACATCGAATCGATTCGACAATTAATTTTGCTTCTGACAACTAAAGTACATTGTTGTTGCGTATATCGAAATTTTAGAGTAAACTACAATGCTCAAGCTTTAATTTGATTTCTATGCGAAATCTCTATAACATCAGATACACTCGGTACAAATTTACACTGAAAGACTTTTCGTTTGAAAAATTAATATGATTTGTTTGAAAATGAGGATAATTCTGTTTTTATGCGATTCAGTCGTATAAAATGTAACAATTTTTAACCAAATAATACCGAAAATTAGTATCATCATATTAACTTTCATTATTTGGTTAAAAATTGTTACATTTTATACGACTGAATCGCATAAAAACAGAATTATCCTCATTTTCAAACAAATCATATTAATTTTTCAAACGAAAAGTCTTTCAGTGTACGAAAACTGACAAAAACGTGATTTTTGGGGATTTTAAACCCACTTCTCTCAAAATGCAGACTTGATAGGAAGTTTTGGTGGTCAGATTCGGATTCAGTGCTCTGAAAACTGTACGAAATGACTTCCCAATCTAAGACAACAGAAATTTTTTTTAACAGGCTTCTGTTATTTGTGATATATATTCATATGAAATTTAAAGCAAGGTTTATTGTCTTCATGAAAATCAAAAATATTTTTCTTTTAGAAACTTAAGCGGCAAATGATAGTAGCCTTGTATAAAAATTCGAAGCAAGCCGAAGGACAAGGAAAAAGTAACGACAAAGGAAGAGGTGATGGACGAGGAGATATTGGCAGAGGTGGATATGGTAGGGGAGGATACGGTAGAGGAGGAAGAGGACAAAGTGGAGGAGGTGGAAATTACCATTATTAGGCATAAAACGCAAATCGTTGTTTTTTGTCTTAATTTGGAAATTTCTAAATTGCCTCTAACTCATATTTTACGTTCTGATTTGCCCATGGTTAAAGCATAACACTGTTGATTTGCGAGCTTCAGAAACGTAGCCTTCTTGTATTTTTTAACACTTTGTGTATTTTCATATGCGTAAAGCAATATCAAGATATATTTTTTCATCGAAAATATTATTGTCCTTTAAGGAAAAACATTATATCACTTGTATTATGGTAGAGATTTTCTTTTTGTTTTTCTCAAATTTTGTTAAAAGTTTAACGAAGTATTACTTTTATTTGAGTTCCAAAAACATTGTAAAATGTGCCTAAATTTAATTTCCGAATTGAAAATGTCAATTTCTTCTGTAATGGTTGTTCTATTAGTAGTCGCAAATCGATTTTTTTATTCAGAGACTCAAATTGTTTTTCTTTGTTTTTTTCACAATATTTTCTTAATTTTATACGCGTAATACTTTAACAATTATTTAATCGTTTATCCCTTTACGCATTATTATTTTATTTCAAGAAAGGAAAAAATTTTAAATCTTGCCTAAGGTTAATTACGTTCTTCTAATTACTTGTTTATTTTTATAAGTGTAGCGAAAAAAAAGTTACATGTAATTATTATTGTATTTACTATGTACAGTGATTTATCATTCAATGAAGATTCAATCAATTAATTTATTGTTATTTTTAATTTTCCATACAATATCAAATATTGTAGATCCAGGTTTATTCTAAAAATTACATATAATCACTTGGAATTGCATCGTACAGTAAAAAAAAATTTCTAAGTTCTGTTTATCGTTTAAAAAAAATTTAAATTGACGTAACTGGACATTTTTCTGTTAGATTTCGTTTTCAGTCCAGTTTTTTGTGACTAGGATTTTTTAATTCTTAGCATTCTGAGTAAAATCCTACAGTTATAGGAAACTGACTGAGAGACACATATTTTTTTAACAAATCTTTTATAAACAATGAATGTGCATCGGTCTAGAATTATGGGCTTTGACCTCTGCTAATTATCAAACAGTCATTATGTAATGTTTTAGGTTATTTAAACGTAATTTCCTTAATTCTTTAATTAACTTAATTTTTTCACCGGCGTTATTTTTTCATCTTTTTTTATCCGTCAAAAAAAGCGTGAACAAAATCGGCATAGTTTTTTTGAAATTTCGAAATTTATTTGCAGATTTTTTACACTTGGCGTCGATTCTCTATCGAGAATCTTGATTAAATATGAGAAATTATTTGAAATGAATTTCAATAAAAAATTTCATTAAGGAATAACATTTAAAACATATTATTGTAAATACTTTCTTAATTTATTAAAATATTTTTTAGAAATTTTGAATAAATAAAATAAGTAAATTTTAATTTATGAATTACAATAATAGATGGTAACATTTTTTACTTTGAGATATTTGGTCATTAACTGAAGAGAAACATTGCACCTGTTGTTAAAGTTTTAGAATCTTTTGATGAAAAGTAGAAAAAATATATTTACACTTAATTAAATTTTATTTTAAATTTTTCTTACAGTAGAATTCACGTTAATCCAAATTATCATTCTGAAGAACTTTTATGCAAATTATTTACTTTATAGAATTTTCATATAACACAATTTCGATCAATTTCTTTTAAGTATTATTAGATTAAATTTTTAATTATAATTTTTGGATAATATTAATCCTATAAATATACATTTTACACAAGATAATTCTACACCGCTAATTGTATATAGTCTTCACAAAAAAGTTAACATCATACCAGTATAATTAATACAGCTCCAATAACTTCCAATCTTGACTCTTTTCTTTCTTCCAGACTTTTTTAAACGAAGATCTTACTTGTCATTAAACATCTGCCAATGAAACACTGGAAAATTTTAATTTCGGAGAAAAGTTTGCCTATCTTTGTGATGAACGAAAAATATTTATCTAAAATATCCTAATCTTAGTTGAACTGTTAATTTATTGCGAAATTATAACCAAATCGTCATTTGATTCTGCAAAATTAAAATATTAAAACAAATTATATTTTTGTATTAGTTGAAAATTTAAAGTTTTTTTTTTAATTAAGCAACAAAACTTAAGGATAATTGCTGCTTCAATGACTTCCAGAAAAATATCTATCGCCCTAACTCGTCAAAATCGATTGTCAGATGTAAAAATTGAATTATAATTAGGATCCCGAACCAAAAACGCCAGTGGTGTCGCGATCGAACTTTAAACTTCCCGTGGGGTTAGAAGCCACCTCAGTTTTCCATTCTAGGTTAAGTAAATTCTGACGCAATAATAAAATTGAATAAATATGTTTAAAATAGATATTTTACATGCACTAGAGATGTATTAAAATAATTGTTTCCACAAATTCGTTTTTTCAAAGTTGAATTGAATGCCTTTAGTCGTGTGATGCTTACGAAACATTTTATTCCATAGATAAAAACGTTGTACTCTTGAGTAACATGAAGAACGATTTGTTCTCGATTATGCTGTTGATTTAGAATGAAACGCACCACTCGATTAAGATCTGACCTGATATCATAGATAAGAAAGCCAGAGCAAAATCAGACGGGGCGTTACACGCCTATGTTTCATTTTCTTAAATTCTGTACCTAGAAAAAGGCAAATTAACTTAAATCTAGTAAATAAATATAAACTGTTCTATTATTCAATTATAAGTGTGATAAAATTGCAATTCTGCATCGATCCTTTGCATCATTATGAATTTGCATTTAACATGCAAATAATTATCATGCATTCGCAAGCATGATTACTTTGACACTTTCAGTCAAAATAAAAAGAAACGTACATGAAATAAATAATTCATGTAATGAGCTCTAATAATTAGTAATACAGAATATGTGAGTTATACTTTAGAATATTTATTTTGAAATCTGAAAAAATATTCTGTCAATATCCAATTTGGATAACGTTCCTTTTCGTCATTATTAATCAAGTTAAAATCGCACACACATAAAAAGTATTTCAAAAAAAATTGCTATAATGACGTATTTAAAAATAAAATGCAAATCTTCATCATGCACATGCAAGCATGATTATTTTGACTCTTTTAGTCAAAATAAATAGAAACGTACATGAAATAAATAATTCATGTAATGAGCTCTAATAATTAGTAATACAGAATATGTGAGTTATACATTACAATATTTATTTTGAAATCTGAAAAAATATTCTGTCAATATCCAATTTGGATAACGTTCCTTTTCGTCATTATTAATCAAGTTAAAATCGCACATACATAAAAAATATTTCAAAAAATTGATATAATGACGTATTTAAAAATAAAATGCAAATCTTGATCATGCACATGCAAGCATGATTATTTTGACTCTTTTGGTCAAAATAAAAAGGAACGTACATGAAATAATCAATTCATGTATCTTATGTCTTATTTAAATTTAAATTAGCAAACAATATTTTTGCCTGTAAATTAAATGCGATCTTACTTAAAAGGGGGAAAAAGTTTTTTTTCCGCGTCCGAAAGATGTTCCTCAACTTGAGGAAATGGTGTCAAAATTTTAGATTCTATAATCTGTGCCATGTGTGCTCTCATTAGTTTGGATTTAACTGAATACTTTTCAGTAAATGGGTTCCTGCCCAGCGCTGCGCTTGTCGAACGTGCTGAAGATTGAACACCACAACTGGAACCATCACTTTGTTTCTGAAGACAAATGATGCGTACGTTCTTAGTCGGCAGTTTCGGATATCTCTTTTTTATAAAAATTTTTTCATCTTCCGAAAGACTTTTGTATGTCAAATCGGTGAACATACTGTCAAAAATAGTGAGATTTATATTTTCTGATGCACGATTCCTGTAATCGTAAAATCGCCAGTGATTTATACAATTTCCTCCAACAATTTGAATGTCATTATGGTTTGTACATTTAGGCACATCTACATGCTTCATAATGTTATGAACGCTCAGTGTTTGAAAGCCTCCATACTGAAAAATCCTACATGAGCTCCTACGTAAGATCTTATGTACTATCCTTTATAGGATCCTACATAGGTTCAAATGTAGGATCCAATGAAAGAACCTATATAATTTTGTTATGTGAGTATTTGACATAGCTTACTATGTAGGATCCTACGTGAGTTCGTATATAAGTTCTTATGTTCAAATTAATAATTTTTTATTCATAGAATGAATTGTATATATTATAGAAAAGAGAACGTGTTTCTTTATAAAAAGGATTAAAGTTCTAAAAAATCCTTTTTTTTTATGCTTTACCAATAAAATGTTAAATAAAATTAAAGAAATGAGATTACGTTAACCATCGCTACATATTAAATTCTCCCGAATAAAGAGACAAAAAGTATATAAAATTCATGACATTGTTTTATTAAATCAATGCTATAACGTTACAAAATTTGTAATATTCACACACTTATAAATAATACTCAATCCTAAATTTTCTGAATATTAAAAATTCTAACAATGAAATAGCATGTCTTCGCTGGTTTTTAGTTTGTAATTATTAGTTTATAAAAAAACATGTTTGAGTTGTATTATATATTTAAATTATTAACAGTGATCAACGTTGTACTTAAATTACTTGTAATGAAAAATTTGTACAGTTTTCAATAACTACAAGAGATATGGACATGTTTTGGAAGGTTTCAGTGATTCATATAATATGAATTAAATATGGAACTCATATTAAACAGTCTGTGGTTCAAGAACAAGTAAACAAATTATTCGTTTGACTTTATATGCAAAATATAAACGAATACTTTGACTTCGTTATAATTAGTGAATTAGATTTTTAGTCATTCAGAAAATTGTTTTAAATGTCATTAATAAATACAGCTTAATTAAATGAATTATAAAACAGAAAACACAAAAAAGACAAACAAAATTATTATTATGGTTATTATTATGTCCCGGGGTTAAGAGGTTAATAAAATTAATTGAAATACAAATTCGGCAAAGGACAAATATATTCTTCATTCTGCAATTTTGTATGGACGCATAAAGTTTTAATACTGTATGTTGGAAATGCTACTTTGTCAGGATTAATTTGTGTAATCTGTTTCTGCATGCTGCATTTTTCTTCAATGATATTTCTACAAACAAGAATTTGCACTATTACAAATTCTTTTTTATTAAAATCATCCACAATTAATTCATTAATTTTGACATAAATATCATTGTTAAGTTGGGCAAAACTGTTATCAGAACGTTTATTTTCTTTCTGGGAA